TAAATGATAATGACAACAATATTATTAAAGATGATAAATAATAATGATAACAGGGATAATAATAACGATATTAAATACGAATGATAATAGTGCATTTGTTGCTGTTGATTTTTCGCTTTAAATAATAAAACGTACCGATGAAAAAAAAAGTAAATATTTATATATGAATAGATAATTAAGAAAATTTCTCATAAGATCAAAAAGCACAGAAGATGAAAAGATTATAGAGAGCTATTATGCTATAATAAAATTTATCAGACTATTTTTTTTTTCTCTACTAATATTCCAGTTACGAATTGTAGCTTGAGTATCAGTAAGGAAAAAAAAGATCAGGAATTAAAATGATCGGTAAAAATTTCCCAATCAGGAATAAATAATTTCCGCTTTCTTCTTTTTGGAATATCATTTTGCTCTTTTTATCCAGTTTCTAAATGGGCAATTGCATCATTATATTACTATTATTTTTTCTTTTCATTCCTGATGATAATTTAATTTCATTGTACAGCAACAAATCTATTGACAATAATATTGACAATTCTTTTTTTTTTTTAAATTTGATGAAACATAAATCAAATTGTCCGTAAAATAAGTACACCGGTGATTCCATTTAAGCATTCCATGTTGACAGGACAAAAATGAAATTTGTCATTTCCATCCTTTTCAATATTAAAATTCTCATTAAAGATTCAAAATTATTAATCAAGTATTATCACTCAATCAAATCTGTTTGCTAAAAGCAAAAAAAGCAAAGATGTAAAAAAAGAATAGCGCTGAATTATTATTAAATGAACTCGCTGACTCGCCTTTTTTTGTTATTTGATGTAAAATTAATTAATTTCTCTTTTTTTCAATCCTTCCAAATTCTTCAAAAAAGAAAAAAAGAAACTAAAAAATTTATGGAAGTATTGTCAAAATATAAAATTAAAAACATTAATAGGACAAGAACTGAATGATAACAAGATTAACTTTAAGCAAATATTAATTGAAATTTGAAATCTCAACTTTTTTCTCCATTTCTCTATCTTCTCCTCTCTCTCTCTCTCTCTCTCTCTCTCTCT